TATATATATATATATATATATAAGCATTTATCGGAGATTTAACAAGACTGTGTTCCCATATCTCTATTGATCCTATTAAGTACTGAGTTTCTCCAACACGGATTTGTCCAACACAGCTTGCTTAAGGAACATATTCCCCATGTTGGAGGAGGGCCCACTGTCTATATAATTCTATATTCCACTTAGCATGGGTGGTTGGATTTGAAGTAGAAATACCTCTCTAATTGGGAAGGTATCTTGTAGTAGTGTAGTATATAGGCATGTCATGTTTTCTACCTTCTTATTTTAATGTAGAATTTTTCAAATTTTTTTTCTTTTATTTCATGTACATCTAGTTTTCATATAACACTGGTCAAGAAAGTTGTTAAGTTGCTTTCATTCTAGCTATCTTTGCTCTTTATCATCTCTTGGAATTAACATCTGGTCTTCAAATGGGGAGTTATAGTTATAAAGCTGCACTTTGTTCATGAAGATCAATAGCAATGTCTTCCAATGATAAGACAGGCAATATCTTAAGATTGCAACCTTGCTTATATTTTAATGGGAATGATTAACCACAAAGATTACGATAGTCCTTCTGGGTAAGTCTGATAATTCAGATAAGTAATGTGAGGTTTATACAGTTTGGAACATCATCTTGAGTGAGTTTGTCAGCCTGGACAGAAGTCTTGAGGGAATATAGCCAGCTTGGTCAATTCACATCTCTAGTAAAAGTGAGAGTTCATCATCCAAAAGATAAGATAACACACTGATGGTTTGTGTCAAAATAATAAAGATTATTTCATTGTGTATTGCATATCATGTCCAATTTGTTTATTTCTTAGTACAAACTCAGTCAATTCAGGGAAATTCAGAACTACTTTGTAATATATGTTGCTGATCCTCCCATTAAAAAGCAGATGTACTTCCTTTCCTCTTTTGGGAAATCAGTTTTAACTGAAAATACTACAGTAGTAAGGATATATCAAGTCTGGGGAAAAAATGTCTATGAAGAGTTTGGTTTCATTCTATTCTATATTCAAACACAATTACAATTTTCAAGTTCAGAGAGTTCAGTCTTTAAAAAGATACTTCTATTTTCATGTATGCCACAAAATGGTAAAATATGTATTGTGTGTCTATTCTCAATAAATAACATAGTAATATCCTTTGAACTTTATTGTTTTTTAGCAAAATATCCAAGATTGATAGAAGTTTGATTCAATCATAATTAAACACAGAGATATACATAAGGAAGGTGACATGTATAAGTTTTCATATTGAAAATCAATGTTTATGATTGATTTCTACTAAAAGCAATTAAAATCTTACACTACTTT